AAATTTCGGGTGTTTTTTCCAGGTTTTGCATAACATCTAGTTTAATTTTCATTAGTGATTATCTCTGTCGGCACCTTAGGTCTGTTTTTTTAAGAGTACAGTAGTTGGTTATCTATATGAATGAGCATGCATTGCTGAGATTGTTTCTCTAGGTTTTTTATTCCAGTAATGGATCATTTTCAAAGACTTCAATAAATTGTTTGATTTTTTCAAAGGATTTTTGAGATTTAGTATAAAACCATTTGTAAAATTTTTTGCATTAGATAATTAGTAAGTTTAAGTTGTTTTCAAAATTTTAACAGTTCATTTCTCGTCAGATGTTTTTTGCAAAATCTCCAGAATTATTCAAAAAAAAAGATTTTGTTTCACCATAGTCTGTTCTTTGCTTTTTTTTGGTTAGTTTAATTCGATTTCGATTTATTAAAATGTAACGTCTAACTGGGAGGAAATGGTTTTTGGTACTTCATTTTTTAACAGAAAAAAAGGCGTGCTCTCAGGGACAGTGTAAAGGAGAAGGTTCATTTGTTGTTTACTGTTGAGTAACAAATTTTTAAACATTTGCATAAACTGAAGGATTTGGGGAATCTTGAATATCAAAAAAAAAAAAACAATAACTGTTTTGAGATTTATTGGAGACTTTTTCATTTTGTGCTTTTGAAAACAAGTGTTCCACACCCTAATTTTCTGCCACCTGGAAGTTAGGTTGTTTTTGTGACAAAATCTTCATTACTTGCTGTCTAGAGCTTGAATAAAAAGTGTCGTGTAGGAAAAGTAGTTAAAAAATTGGTGGGGCTTAAGGTGTCGGACGTACTGTTGGACTGATGAAAGTAAGTCAACTAATTTTAATTTTAATTACTTATCGGCTATTCTCTGATTTAAAGTTATCCAGGATATCTGAGTGCAAGAAGTTTAAGACGACGTCTACTTTTGAACTTAATGTTAATATATGTATTTTGTTAATACTGCTTATGGAAGTATTTAAAGATTATTTATAATTTCAGTTAATGTCGAGATTGTTTTAGTATCAAAAGGATGCACGTACTGTGGAGGGATGTTTGTTGGATGCCATGTATAAACTCGCCATCATAAATGAAGAGCAGAGAAAGCAGCCGTATCTGTTCTATTTTCAGCGTGCTGCTAGAACCGATCGTGCTGTATCTGCCGTGAGACAAGTCAGTTTATTGCCCTTTTCTAATATATTTCATTTACGTTACAATAAATGATAAGTCGTATTAGCAATATAGGTTTGTTCAATGAGGTTGAATTTCGACGAGAAGCTACCTGTAGAAGGACCAAGTGCTTTGAACACATTACTCCCTTCAGACATCAGGGTGATGGGAATAAGGTTCGTTTGAAACGCGGTTTCGGTTTTTGAGTGCAGATTCTCAAAACTATTTGTTCATTCCAATTTTTATGAAGTTTATCGCTTGGTCGCCTTTAGGAGAGCTACAAGAACATTTCACGCGCAAAAGTCTTGCGATTCTAGGACTTATTCTTACACGCTGCCTACTTATGCCTTTGCAAAATTTGATAAGGTGCTTTTTCTTTATAAAACTTACCTCATTTTTATTTTATTGTGGCATTTCTTTATATTACTAACATATCAGTCACTAAACATAAGTTAGCTACCTTCGCGTGCTATTCAGTAGATTTTTTTTGGTTGATCATATCCTTCAGTTTTTGTGGTTCAGATTTGGCTACGGAATACTGATGGTAAGAAGATAACTGGCTGCAATTTTTTTTATTGGGTGATCAAAGAAATTGTTTATAAACTTCCTGTAATAGTTCAAATTTTTTGCAGTTAACTACGAATTCGTATAGGATAGAAGAGCAGACTTTGGCGGAAATAAATGAACTTTTAGAAATTTTCAAGGGCACTCACAATTTCTACAACTATACTTCTAGGCGGTAAGTTTAGTGCTTTTTGTGCTGTTTTAAATTAATACCAAGTGAAAGCGCAATGTCTGGTCTTGGTTTGAGAATTGAAAAGCTACTACATTTTCTTTGCGAATTTTGCAGGGAAGCAGATGACAAAAGCTGTTTCCGATACATCATGGGGTTCAAGTGTGATAAAATACGGCTTCATAAGGACGAGTTTAGCGGGCAAGAAACCGAGTTTCTGACAATACTAATCACAGGCCAAAGCTTTATGCTGCATCAAATTCGGAAAATGATAGGTTTGTCCTCTTACTGGTTTTTATGGTCGGTTAAGTGTATTCTTTGACTTGTTTTAAATAGAAAATTGCTTATATTTAACAGTAAAGTATTGGTCTAATTTCCTACTTCTGCTCCTAGCTTTGTCAAGAGTCACTATCTTCTGCCAAAATTTTATTAAGAATAAAGATCTTAAGGCATGGTAATTAGCATCACTCGTGGTTTCCTGTACAAAAGCGACGTTCAAAGGTCTTTCGATGCAGTTAGGGTAAGACAAAATAGTCTTATATATTAACCATATAGCTATTCTTTAGCACTCATGACTACACAAGTATTGACCGAAAGCTGAAGGGAAGGCATGTAATCCAGAGAAGTTCGAGCACCTTCGATTACTTCTGATTTATTGTTAAAAAATATCGTTTTTCCAAAGAATTGGTACTGAAGAATTAACATTGTTTTGAAGTCTTGCAGAGAAGATCCTCCTTTTTGTTATACATGGGTAGCTTCTTGTGGTTTTGTTCGGCGAAATGATTTGAAATTGGTGCTATTGCTATCAAATGTCTTTTAATCTGGTCGGCGTTTTAGCTCTTGATTGTTTAGATGGATATACCAAGAGCACCAGGACTTGGCTTGTTACTGGAGAAATTACACTATGCAAACTATGATCGAAAATTTAAAAATACTCACGAAACCCTCGATGATTGGGGTGAAGAGATCGAAGCGAAGGTAACGAAAATGCGTGAAGAAATTATTTTGCAAGAAATATTCAGAGAAGAATCACGAACACAGTCGTAAGTTTACCACTGTATTAAGTTGCTGTAGGTGAGGCGAGCAAAGTAGGTGTAACGCTTTTTTACGACAAGAACTAAGAAAATATTGTTTATCTGGTCTTGTTGATTTTTATATCAGTTCTTTTGCTGAGTTGCTATATATTTTGCTAATCAAACATAGTTTTCAGGATGATGCTTTGGCTTGCGGATCTTCCAAAACATAACTTTGCGAGTTTGCCAGACAGTGAGGTTACTGAAGAAAATTTGCTAAGTGCAGCTGCTCATGCTTCGAAAGTAAGACATTTTTATTGTTGTATTGATGCGAGGGTTGTTTTGAAAGTTCTGGGAGTTTTGAAACAGCAGGAGTAACTGCAACTGCTAAGTCGGCATTAAAAAACAGGTTTTGACGCATTGATTGGAGCTTCCAGTACGGTTCCCTCCTAGTATATATCGTCACTATAAAGTAAATGCTTAGGCATCAAGCATATCTGCTTGAACTACATTGAGCAATATGCCGTAGCAGAAGACACCCATCTTTCTATGGAGGAAGAGGACATATTTATTAAAAATTTTTTGGATTTTGCACATTGTATTTGGAAGGTTCTGCAGGGTCTAAGAATAAAATCTACCATTAAATAAAGAAATTTGAAGAAGATCAGTAGGAGATACGAAACTAACTTGCGTATTACTGTCAGCAGCGAAAAGGGTACTGCTTCGAAGAAATTGGTGATGAAGGATTTGCAAATTATTGCTTCAAAGCTTGGTAAATTCCTATATCTAAGCTGCAGGTATTCATTGTTCTAAACTGTTAGCTATCACTGCCGAGGGTTTTGGCAGAATAGGTTATTTGGTCACTGGGAGCAGGAAGAAAACAAATAATAATTATTGATTTTTAATATGATGTATTCTAGGCAAGATTATAAGTGTAAACAGTAGACGATTCCCTCATTTGATTCCTAGATCTAAAAAAATTTTATAAATGGTGGAGATTATAGTTGGGATGTTTTATTAGAGGTCCAGTCGCTCTCGTCTGCACGTGTGGTGGTGCTTAGTGTCTTTTCAAATTGTGTTGGAGTGACATTTTTTTTTTCAATGAGAAAAATCCAACAATATTAGCTGAAGCAGTCCTCGGGAATTCTATATTCAGTAGTTGCTGCAGTATAATGATGTGCAACTTTGGTGGTAGATAAGTCAAGGAAGTTTATAGAGATTTGTCATGCAGAGTTTTACCACTTATCTGATCTCAACTTATTTCTTGCCGTATGGAAATTGGAAGTCGATGGCTTAAAATTAGGCTCAAGAGTTTGATCTGGTCATATGAAAAGTTGTTGGATATTTGTTAAAATGAGCTTAAAAAGTTGTTTGAAAAAAAGACAGTCACAGGGCGAGACTGCTGCGAAGATTTAAAAATATCCTGTTTTGAAGGAACGCCGTATAATTTTAGCCTTTCTGAAAAAAATAAAAAGTTAAATGCAAAGTTCTCAGAACTTCAGAAACATCCTATAATTATATTATTTGATACTCTCGTTATTCCCCTAGACCTTAGTCAAAACGTTCCCACGTGCACGTTCTATTTAGGAGAGCAGA